ATAGTGGTCTCTTTGTGTTGCAGCTTTTATGTTATGGTTTTCTTTCATTGTTTAATACAGGTGATTGTTTTCAGTAACTACTGTGATATTTAATCTTTCTGACTGTGGTCAGAATCCATAATTTTAAAGTAAATATTTTCATAATTCCATTGCCTTCTTTTAGTCATGTATTACCTATGCGATTATATGCCTGATGCTACTTCTTAACATCGAGTTTCATGTATTCAACTTAGGTGGAACATATATTGTTGACATTAGCAGCAACTATGAGTAAATCTGCTATAAATAAAGGATCTTTTCTATATGAAGTGATTGTATGATGAAGATGAAATAAGTGTTCCAGGGGAGCATGGAATACTTAAATTTCTTTCTTTTGTAGTTGGTTGTTGGGGTGTAGTGATGATTGTGATCCAGAGTGACTTGTGCAGAAATCAGGTTTATCAATTATTTCTACTATTGCAGATATAAAAGGTTTTATAGTTAGCCTTTTTTTCTTCCCTCCTTCTGTTGAAGAAATAAAAAGTTAAACGTTATTGTATGCCAAATCTTTGCTCTGAACCATTTCTGTACTGGGAGAAATTGTGAACATGAGAGGAGGAACCTTTGAGGTAAATGAATGAAGAAGAAAAGAATATTTACTGCTGTAACTCTTAATTTCTAGATAAATGTTCATTACAATTATTGTTATAGAAAATTACACACATAAAGCATAGGATTTATATATTTTCAAGGTAAAACAATGTGTATATTTTCCAGCTCTTGTATTTTGGCTTCAGAATATTTCAGGTTGTATTGATGTGTATCTTTGTAGGGGAGGAAGTGTGCAAAGAAAAATTCCTTAGGATGAAATGTTATTAAAATGTTTCCAAAATTAGTTCTCAGCAGGTAATGTTACTTGTTCTTGTGTAGGAGTTACGTTGAACTTCAGAATTTGTTTTTCTGTAGAAAAAACTACCTGTAAACATTAAATCTTTATAACTTGAATGATTGAGTGCCATGGACTTAACTTGTGTACCTTAGGCTTCATTTTGCTACTCATATATATAGGTTTTCAGTCCTGTTTTAATAAAAGAGGAGTTTCTAAGTACGAATGTCAGAGAATGCAGATTGCTTAGATAATGCCCATTCATAGGCTTTGTCAGCTCTTATGCCTTCAGTTTCCATGGCTTGGTTTTCTGTGCAGTAGGGATGTGGCGTATGTGTCAATTATGTTTAGACTGCAGGATTCTGCTTAGATTGGAGAATAATGATTTTGAATGCTGTTTGTAGCAACAAGATTCTGCTTAAAATTAGCCAACCGATGTTGCATGGAAACTGGATTTTTCTTTCTCTCCTTGCTGGAGAACCAAAGAGGACTTTGCAACAGTGCAGTGGCTATTACGGAACAGATCTTATTCTTTTGGTGGAATAGCTTCTTGCCAATGAGCTTCCACTTCGATAGCACTTCTTTGGTAGTAGTTATTAGCTGGCTTTTGAGATTGCCCCATCCCAATTTTCTGCAGTTTTGCCTTTATCTAGAAGCATCTTTCAGATTGTCTTGTGTCAGAAAACAAACTATATGAATAATGTTCTTCTCAGTGCTTGGGTTTTTTTATTTTGCTAGAGAATGATGTTGGAGCTTTAATAGTAGTTTACCTTTCAGTGGTCTAAACAATTTTTGTTTCCATGTTTTAAATATTGGTTTTCTGTACCAAAGTGTAGTTTAAAGATGTCTCTGACTGAGAAGCGTTGCTTGAACTGATATATAAGAGAATGTATAAAACTAGGGAGAGATGCTTTATGTGATGCCAGAAACTTTTCTGTTTGTCCTAAAAGATAATTTCATTGTTTGACAAATGTTTTGAAAATTCATGTCTATGTACATACATGTTTAGTATATGACAGAATTTGTTACTGCCCTTATTGAAGTAGTAAGTTTGTGTTAAGCTATACTGGCTGGATAATTGAAGATTACAAAAAAGCATTCTTTTCTGTGTTCAAGAAAAGCAAGGTAACTAATTGTTTTTTTTTTTTTTCCATTTTCTATGCAATATTAAATGTTCCGGGGTAAATTTTGATTGCTTCATTTTGTGAATTTTATCACAAGTTTAGCTTTCAGTGTCTAAAGTATGCAAGTATGCTCTTGCCATTAGGAAATCAGTGGCTCTGTCAGGCTTACTTGCATTTATGTAGCACTGTTGCCAGAGATCCTCAAGTGGCTGCCCATGTTTTGTATTGCATTCTTTAGTGTAATACTTTGTATATTTTTGTGTGTATTATTTTCCATATATTTATCTACCTTTTATCTTCTGAAAGTGAGTATTTATTCCTTTACTCTCCACACATAGGAAACCAAGCCGTAGTCTTGAGATATGGCAGCAGATCAAAAGAAAATGTATCCTCTCCTAGCGATGTCTGTTGGATGCTACACCCTCAATTCTAATCAGTTCGTATGTTGTAAGGTTTTTATAGAGCAAATAAAAAAAGACTTAGAAAATCTTCAGTGGTGCAAGAACCTGGAAAGCAAAAACACTGAATTAGAACATAAACTTTAGCTGTTAGGAAAAGATATAAGATAGTGGTAGAAATAATTTGTGATGTACAGATCTTTTCTTTTTCCTTTCCTATTATTTCCAGTAATGAAAACACAGGGAATGACTGTATTTAGTGAAAATAGGAACTGTTTGTAGAGAACTGGTCAGAGAACTGGAGTTCGCCTGTTTTGATAGAAGTGTTGAGAAGTTAGTGAAATATGTTACTTGGTCTGGCTGCTTGGATCCAGAACTGAAATGTGGGTATTCTTGACTTCTAAAAATGAATTGATTCAATTCTCATTGCATGTGTTTTTAATATTGACTGAGTTGTCATGGTGCAGGCAAACTGAGCTGAGAGCTTAAATTCTTAATTTTCGTTTAGGCATACTAAGCATAACTTACTATTCTCAATTCAGGCACTTACGAATGAAATATTTTTATACAAGTGATCAGATTAGGTCTAAATAATTTTCCTGGACACAAAATCTGAGCTGTATTCTGTAGTTACAGCGAGTGATAATTGAAAGCTTCTTTATTCCCTTCCCTCTGGAAATCACAGTCATCGGTTTCTTATGAAGGTGAGGCTTTTGGAGGATTTAACATAAATGCTTCGTATTGATTTTTCCCTCTTCCTCTTATTTCTTCTAATTTTTTAGTTAATAAATAAAGTTAGTTGTGTTCATAAATTTATTTTTTAAATCCTCATCGACCCATGAATTTGAACCCTAATAATTAGATATATTTTTATTCCAGTCACAGAGTTGTTTTTAATTTCTTTTTTAGAAGAGTACATAGCTATTGAGTGGCTTTTCAAAGATGAAATGAAAGATTGAATATCTCACGGCATGTTTTATGGCCGGAAATACAAAAAAGTCTTAATGCTTGTTTTTCTCAAATCTAAATGTGTTCTGATTTTCAACATTAGTTCATTAATATCCTTATATCTTAAGACAGTATTGTGCTTTAGCTTTTAATCCTTTCTGATGTTACTTCAGTGACATATTTATAGGCAGTGGTTTAATTAGTTTATAACCAAAGTAAGCAAATATTTCTTCACATAGTTTTCAAAGCAGAACTTTTTCCATCCAGCTAGCTCTTTATTTCATATGTTCCAGCTTGAATTGTTTTTTTTATGAATTTTATTGGAATCCTGTGCAAAGAATTCTGGAAAACATTCAAAACTATCTCCTGGTGCTTTGTACAATATTGATTTTTTTTTTTTTTTTTTCCTTGTTCTAGTAGAAATACTTGTCTTGCTTTTGCATCCCTGTTAACTGCATTATGTCATTAGCTGGTCTTTCTTACCATGGTTCAAAATGGTTCTTCTTAGCATTATTTGCTTCTCCTGTATGTGCATCAGTAAATTTGCTTTGTAACTTTTCTACTTTGTGCCTTGTACTAGTAGTGTCTCTAGTTACTTTATTCCATTGCCATCTGTCTCCATTCAAGGTAAAAACAAAGCTAAAAACAGAACTGGTTTACCTCTGACTACTTTATAGTTCTTATGCAAGCCATTCTGAATCTTAATTAGTATTCATATACAACATTATATGATACGTCACAGAAAATGAGGTGGAAAAAAATGTAGTGTGCTTTTCATCTTGATTAGGAAATGAGCTGTCACAAACAGCTGTTGGGGTATCCTTGAACAGTCCATCTTTCAAGAATCGTAGCATCATTAAGATTGGAAAAGATCATCTAGTCCAACATCACCACGATGCCCACTAAGCCGTGTCCCTCTGTGCTGCGCCTACCCTTTGCATGACGCCTCTAAGCCTGGTGACTCTACCTCCTCCCTGGGCTGCCTTTTCCAATACCTCACCACCGCATAAATTTTTCCTGATGTCCAACCTAAACCTCTACTACCACAGCTTAAGGCCATTAGCTCTCATTGTGATGCTAATTACCTGGGAAAACCTCTCACCTTGCTACAACCTCCTTTCCTGTAGTTTTTAGTGAGCTATGAGGTCATCCCTGAGCCTCATGTTCTCCAAACAAAACAATCCTAGTTTCCTCAGTTGTTCCTAGTAAGACTTATATTCCAGACCTCTCACCAGCTTTGTTGGATGTGATCCAGGGCTCCAGTGACTTCCTTGTAGTGAGGGACCTGAAACTGAACACAGTACTCATGATGTAGTCTCACCAGTGCTGAGTACAGAGGGACAATGGCCTCCCCTGTGCTGCTGACTGCACTGTTTCTGGTACCAAGCCAGGATGCCATTGGCCTTTTTGGCCACCTTTGCACACAACTGGCTCACATTCATCTGGCTGTCAGCTAACACTGCCAGATCCTTTTCCTCTGTGCGTGTGACAATTTCTTCATGTTCTTCTAGTTGCCGCTTCAGAATTTGTTCTAAACACTCCCATTTTCTTTTAGACAAGACAGGGTGGTTCTAAAAAATTCTTACGTTTATAATAAAAAGCATTTTTAAATGAAGCACAAATAATGGCAGTAAACTCTTCAAATAGTCTTAATATGTCTTTCAGCTAATGGTAATGACAACAAGAAATTCAAAAGTGAAGATAAAATGGATGGGGCTCCTTCTCGTGTTCTTCATATCAGAAAACTGCCTGGGGAAGTGACAGAAACAGAAGTTATTGCTTTAGGCTTACCTTTTGGTAAGGTAACCAACATCCTGATGCTGAAAGGGAAAAATCAGGTAATTTGTTGCTGCTTTTTTTTTCTCATTTCAAAATACTATGTTAAAATACTATTGAAATAAATCATGCTAAGGTAAGTATTAATGAGGAAAGAAGAGGAGGGTAAAAACCTTTGTTTCTTTCTTTAAATCAGCTTATTCTGTCTTGTAAATTATGTTTGGGAATGTGGATTAATTAAGAGCTAAATAAAGTAGGAAATAGGATAAATACTATAAGTTAAATACTTAATTCTGCATTCCTTCAGATGAATTTTTGGAGGTGGCTTGGCAAATAAAGTTAGTAATTGGAGGATGACGTCATATAAAGATGTATGTTTGGCAAAATGTGTTCTCAAAACTCTTGTCTTCTTTCTTGTGCTTCTAATACAAAGGTTGCCTACTTGAAATTTATCAGTTTAACTTGATTTTATAGGCTTTTTTGGAACTTGCAACAGAAGAAGCAGCTATCACTATGGTTAATTACTATTCAGCTGTGACACCTCATCTTCGTAACCAACCTATCTATATCCAGTATTCCAATCATAAAGAACTGAAGACTGATAATACACTGAACCAGGTATATTTGTTATTAAATGGTATTAGAAATGCAGACAGTAGGGTATGTGATGTATGTACCACTATCAATCAAGAATACCTGTTATTTAAATCTATTTTTTGTCCACATTCAAACACTACTGTAGTTTTACCAGTGGTTTTGGTAATGGAGATTTGCTTTCTCTGTGATCCTTCAATTAGGATGAACTTGCTTTGTGTGAAAGGAAAGATTGTGAAGATGTTTTAACTTGAAATTTTTTCACAAAACAAATTTACGTCTTGGTTTAGGAAGCGTAGGATGAGAAAATTAAATTTTTAATTCTGTCACCTCAGATTCTAATATCTCTTTCAGTTTCCCTAGTGATAATGACTAATGCGAATGGCTACATTTCAGAGCTTTGAATGATTACTCTGGTAGCACTGGTGGGCTCTTCTCCTGTGATCTGCTGTTCCTGATGAAGAACACATTAATGCTCAGTGCAGAGATAAACGTTCATGTTAGCAGAAGGAAAAAATATTCAGTTTTTGCCTCTGCAGAACCTATTTTAAAAGAAAGATAAATGTGTATACCTGTTTCTAGTACAGAAACTTTTGTCTTTTTTCTAACAAAAATTAGCAAAAATAATGCCTTTGCAAAATAAGTTTTCCTAATGTGATGACCATTTTTTTACAGAGGGAAAAAAACATTAACTAACCACAAGTCAATGATTATTTCAAGATTGCTTTCTTATGTTCATCTTCAGAAGCGGCTATTTATATAAATCCTAAATGTGGTTTTGAACTTTTTTGAAAAAATGCTCACTGTTTTGTTCATTTTATAGGTTATCCTTGTATAAGAATGTTAAGTCACACACATTCCTTCACTCCATCATGTATTTACACTAACTTTAGTGCAGTGAAGCATGATGTATAAGCATACGTGAACAGTACTATCAAGAGTTGCGTGTTAAAAGTAACCTCAGAGGTTTTGGTTCTGTAGGTTTCACAGTTCAACATTCTCCAATCACTTAAAGACATGAATTTGAATTGGTGTGCTTCTTCTGCACTCACAGACGGAGTAGGAAATAATTATGCAACTCAGCCAAATATCTGAACAGCTTGAAATTTGTGTTTTTCATACATTAGGGGGAAAAAGAATGTCTTTATCAAAAGGCATTTCTATAGAATTCCAGTAATTATTTTTAAATACAGAGTTAAATTTTATTTTCTCAGCTAACATTCATCAGGTCTTTTTTTTAATCCTTCCTTAACTTGTTGATTCATTTCAGTTCGAAGAGCATCATGATGAAATTACAAGATAGCTCAGATACCTCTGAAATAATGCACTGATTTACTCTAATGGTTATTACTAGTTCATTTTGCCTGGCATGCTCATTGTTATTTTGTATTGTTCTAATGGAAGTAGTAAATAAAACTGAAACTTTTTTTTTTACCCAGTACTTTTTCTTTCTCAGGAGAAAAATTATCTTTCTGATACTTTCAGTTTTGGCAGCAGCAGCAGTTATGTAGATGTGTGTTTTTGTGATGTTGTCATAAACTTTTGAATTCCTAAAACCATGCTTTTGATATTTAAAAAAAAAACAAACCTGAAGGAAACAGAAGAACCCATGGTGGAAGAAGATTCTCTGTTTCTCTTTTTAGTAAGAAGGGTAAATAACAGACACCAGGTTGTTTACCTCTCTATGGATAGTACTTTCTGATGTGTCTATCTTGTGCATTATTTCTTTGTTACATCAGAAAAGTTTGACAGTGTTCAGCATTATCCCTTCTTCACAGAACTTTCCGCATAATTAAAATGGCAGTGAAATGTTAACTGTAATACATACTGTTGAAGAAACAAGATTGAAAATTACTGGCTTCTGCACTTTTTCCCCTTTAAGAGTCTGTAAGGAGTTTTGACATCCACAAAATCCTATGTTTTTTTTTGTTAATAGTAGAACAATAAGTTTGCTACTAGAAAGGTTGATATTTGTGCCATTTGAAGGCTTAATTGAGGTATTTGTTTTTATTTTCTTATAGATTGGACTGCATTACATTCATATTCTGCCTCATTTTTTTTCTGAATAATCATGTGATTTTCTAATTAATTTCTAGCTATTGTCTTGAGATAGTAAGATCTTTGTAATTTTCTTTTCAAGCGGGCCCAAGCTGTTCTTCAGGCAGTGACAGCTGTGCAGGCAACAAATGCTCCCATAAGTGGGACCACCGTTAGTGAGAGTGCAGTTACTCCAGCTCAAAGTCCGGTGCTTAGAATAATTATTGACAACATGTACTATCCTGTAACCCTGGATGTTCTTCATCAGGTAAGACAAATTTCATTTTAATTTGACCTTGTAATTAGCAGGAACATGTGTATAAAACTTTGTTTTTGACAGATATTCTCTAAATTTGGTGCTGTATTGAAGATAATCACATTCACAAAGAATAACCAGTTTCAAGCTTTACTCCAGTATGGTGATCCAGTGAATGCACAGCAAGCAAAACTAGTAAGTATAGTTTTCTTTTAAGGGTAGATATGTTTCTGTGCTCTAGACATTTGTACAATGTTAGCAGAACGCTGACTACTATAGTTGTAATAATCCTCCTCCATTTCTGGGAGTTCTTTAAAACTAAAAAATAATTGGGAGGTTATATCATTTTGTCAAAGATCAACAACGTGTCATCAAGACCAGACATTTTGAATTAAGTGATAGTGATGTGACTACATCCATGACAATAAGAAAAGTAAACCAAAGGCAAAAACTAGATTTTGTGTGTGTGTGTGATATATGTATTTTTATATACATAAAGTTTTTTTATTCTAAGTTTTAAGAGTTAAATAGAATTAATTTAAATTCTTTAACATTCACATGCAGTTTGGGTTTTTGGAGGGTTGGTTAAAATTGATGTACTGGTTAAGTATTGCTTGGCAGCATAGAAAGAGTGACTTACCCAGACGTGACAGAATAGCTGAGAATATCATGTAAAAGTCGAGAACTCACTCCTCAGATGAAGTTGATGAAGAGTACCAGGTAGTAGAGGAAACAAAAAGTGGGCTTTGGTTTCTACTGTGCTTCTTAAAGAATGACGACTATTGAGATAAAGACTGCCATTAAAAAGTGGAGGATTGTTATTTTCATTCTTGTCACCATATGAATAATGAACGTTGATTAAAAGTATGAGGTCACCAAGACAGGGAATCGCAAAAAATAAGAGAGAGCTTTTCAGAAGGCAGTGTATAAGCGCTTTCCCTTTTGAGGAAAAAGTAATGCTAGCATATATTTGTAGACTTGGAGTCCAGTTTTAATTGAAAAAATACTGACATGTTATATATAAAATATTAGGTGGGAGGGGTGTGCAAATGCATTACTGTAACTAGTGAAGAAAAAAATGCATGGATTGGATGCAGCTGTCAGGTTTGTAAATAGACTTAGAATGACATAAAAGCTAGGTCTTTAACCTGCAGTTACTGTGGGAGTTGACTGTAAGTCAGTTGGATTCACAGTTGAGATACGTTTTGATCCCAGGGTTCTTCAGGTATATATACATCTTCTTGTGGATGTTGTAAATCAGTTTTGATCAATATTTGGGAACTTATTTTTCAGTAATAGTTGATGTTTTACTTCACATTTTTGACTTCATTTTTTGAATCTTAAATATGTTATCAGAAGATTTAATGGAAAGACGGCATCTGTGAAATGAACTGTAGCAATCTGAAAATTATCAGTATAATTCTAGAACTGTATTCTAAAAGAAGTGACAAAATAACACGGGATGAGGTATGTAAAAGTATGAAAGGAAATAAAGAATCTGCTGACGCTGACTTCTGATAAATTGATACTAGCTTGTGGGACACTATTGGTCATAATATTCAAAACAAAACAACAACACATGTATTTGCTCTGGTTTTGCATGTTTTAACTAGGGTAGCTGTTCACTAATGGCCGCTCATGTGTGAATGACTAAACTTATTTGAATAACAGTGATACCTGCATGTGCAGTTATTGTCAGAGTTATCTTGAAGCCTATCTTAGTGACAGACTGAAACAGGAATAGGTTTATAGCTTCTTATTTTAACCAATTTCTAGGTAAATGCTTTTGTGAAGGAAGATTTTGATTTTTATTTTTTTTCCTTCCTCTTTTCTCTCCCAGAGATAGGGTAAAATTAATACTGTTGTTATGATTAAATTAATGTGCTAAAACATGAAGTCACCAAATCAAAACTGACAAAAGGAAAGAAAGTCACATGATAAGGAAAAAGCTTACAGCTTAAATTCAGCTGGAAATAGTGGTAGAAACAAGAGGATGTGATGGCGACATTTAAGTTACATGGCATTCAAAATTAAAATCGTGGTAGAAGAGTAAAGAAATTTTCAATTTGTTTTCCGTCAGTTGTTACTGTAGAAGATAATGGGGAAATTTAATTTTCCACTGGCACTCTTCACAGGAAATCAGAATGTGGTCTTAATAGAAATTGAAGACTTTATTAAGGAAGTTAAAGAGCAATTTGAAAAACTCAAGTGATGTAAGTACCAAGGAGAGATGTTATTCATTTGAAGGTTCTGAGAAACTAGTGACACTGGCAAGAATGTACAATATGAAGCCTCTAGCCCTGTGGGACTCCTGCTATCCAAATGAGCAAGTAGTGAAAAATTGCATTCCTGTTCCACTTACTCTGTGAGAAACTCATTTCCTGTAAAAGTAGACTATGGTTACGCTGATTCACGTTTCATCGCCACCTTCAGATTGGGTCATTATAGTTCATTATATCTGTAACTAAAGGTGAAGACAAACTTGAGGTTACTTTCAGTGCAGCAGTCTAGCCACGGTTTGGAGAAAGTGTTGAGAATGTGCAGCACTAGAGCACACTGAACTATTGTGCTTCCTCTATTCTGGAGGTGTCTGTATTCATATGGAAATTTTTTGTGCATCAAAGCCAGCACATTTTCACAGTCAATGATAGTGCCCTCAACAGAAGCAGAAAACCTGCTTAGGTTGCTATGAAAGTAATGCCTTCTATGTATTTCCATGGAAACAACAACAAATACAAAGAGCACAGTAACAGTATTTGATAGATCAAATCCTCAGCTACAAAACACTGCTTTTCAACAGTCGCCACCATTAGCTATGTGTTTTTGCCAATGGTGAACAAGTGCCTGTGTGTTGCACTCATACAAATCTGTGCCAGCAGATGTGACCCATTGTGCTGTGATGGCATTGTTGCTAGGAAAATGTTGCCTGTGAAGTCTGTCTTTCATCGGCCTTATAAGAAGGAAGTCAGAAGTTGCCAAATCTGAACTATACGGTGGGTGTGGTAAGACAAGCCAGCCAAAATTGGTCGTGTGCTGCATGGTCTTCAGACTGCTGTGGGGCCTGACGCTAAGAGTACGGTTATCTTCTTCTCTGGCAGACTCAGAAAGTTTGAGTCTTTAGCTTAGTTGGTGTCATGATGTAACGGTCAGAGTTGATGGTTTGTCCAGGCTCCAGGAAATCCAGAAAGATAACCTCTTTCCTGTCTTAAAACACAGCACACATCAGTCTACCTGCAGAGGGCTGCATCTTGATCTTTTTCTTCAATGAGGAATTCATACGTCACTGCTCCATAGATTGCTGCTTTCACTCCGGCTCATAGTGGTGACATTGTGTCTCATCACTGGAAACAGTGTGACCCAGGCAAACTGTCACCTTCAGCTTTGTATTGGTTCTGTAGATCCTGACAGACTTGTATACCATGTTCTTTCCCTTCCTATGTGGGCATCTGTGGGACACACACCTGATGGAAACTCAGATATTCCAGTTTTGCCACTATGGTTTCCAATGCAATTAAGCCAATATTCAGCTCCATGCACAGTTCCCTGATCATAGCCTGCCAGTTTGCCTCGATGAGCTTATTGAGACGCTCTCATTTGGTGATGTGACAGATGTGCGTGGTTGTCTGGGAACGTGACTTGTTTTTCACTTCACTTTTGCTGAAATGCACCATCCACTGCCTCCCTATGCTAGCATTCACTGTTTGGTCTCCATAAATGTTCAGCAAGCATTGGGGTATGTTGGTACAGTTTTTTTCTGCATGGAGGAATTCAGCAGCAGTCCTTTGCTTCATGTGCACTTCTATGTCAAACACCATTCTGTCAGACTGCCCCTCTGCTGTCATCTGTCACACAGCAACAACATGTAATGAAATACTGGTGGGGAAAGTTCAACCTCTCCTGTCATACTACTGACATCCATCTCCATGTGGACTAGCATAATCAGATAGGAGGCATTACTTTTGGAACAGCCCTTGCGAACATTGGAACACCACTGATGTCTTCTTTTGGTTTGATGCTGGGAGTAATGCTATGCATGTAAGTCATCTTGACCCAGTATGAGTTAAAAATACCACGTATCTACTGAGTTTCTGTTGTACTTAGTCATTTGAACCTAAGATGGCATGTAGGTGTTCTGGAGTACCAAGAATTAGTTTCTCTACAGAAGTTCTTTTAAGGTCTGACTCCACACTGGAGATGCCTTCTTTCCAGTTTCTTTGAGTGACTGCTTCATGGTGGCTCTTCTGCCAGCAGTCTGTATAGAAGGCCTCTGCCAGGCTTTGTTACCATAAAATCTAATGTGAGCTTTCTGTGGTCATTTGCTAAACAGAAAGCATCAGCATTTCCAGTTAAGATATTTAGCTTCAGGACAGTTACCCCTGATTATTATGTTAAGGATTTTCATGCCCCCCGAATCCTAGAAGACTATTATGCTGAAATGATAGGCAGTGCTTGGATCAACTGAAGAGTGCCAGATTGTGCCCATTGTGTCAGAAAGCCTGGCAAGTGCAGTAATAGCGTTTGTTTCCTAATGCTCTGTCTTTGTAGAGAAGAATGGGATGTGTAACTGGTCTTTTAATGAAGGAACTGCACGCAAATAATCTTAGTTTTGAATAATAGTCTGTGATTTATATACATTGTTTAGCCACAGTAACTTCTTGTATCCAAGGCATTTGTATGAAAAGAAACAATTTTCATTCAAATATTATCCAAAGGATACACTAATGATACATCTCTCCCAAGAGAGATTTACAGTATAACCTTTGAGCTGCCGGAGTTGGAGTATGTTTTGTGAGGATCACTTTTTCTAAATCTTAAACTATTCTGGTATATCCTTTTGAAAATATTGTTTCTAGTTTCTTTTTGTAGTCTCACTGTGGCTTTTGGTTACTTACATACTTCTGTTAAGTATTGACCTGTTTGGAAACTACAAACACAGGTAGCATTTTAGCTTGCTACTTTTTTTTTTGTTAAGACTGAGGATTGTTACCAACATCCTTCTGCTAGCCATAAATTATAGTGTCTACAGATTCCACATGGAGGTGTACTGAGAGTCTTGATTGCGTTTTAAATACTTAGTGCTTTCCTGTGATTTGGAATTAGCTAAAAAGGAGCTGCCTTTTGGTTCCAGTCATACCTAGTTTTCATTATTGTAAGAATGTTTTCTTTATGGTAATTGTGTTGTTCCAGAGTAAACTCTGGTTGTGTAAACTGAACTTAATCCCTTTCTTAGTGGATTTTTAGAAGGTAGGTTTTGCATTGCCAATATTGTTTCATCTGAATTTCAAGCAGAAGTATTCGTTGACACAAATGGCTAGTTTATTTTTTTATTTTTATTTGCTCTGTGTTCTTTTATTTTCCTAGTTCTTGAACATTCTAGTAGTACTAGCTTATTGTTCTTGTACATTGGCTGCTAATGCTGTTAATTCTTTTAAACAATTTCATAAGCCCTGGTGATATATTAGCTGTGATAATATATCTTGTAGGAAAGGACAACCTTACTAACCCAGACATAGTGAGGTGTCTGTGGGACGTTCAATTCCCAGATTCATTGTTGTATGAAAATAGCTATGTTGCTTTCCATGGCCAATGGGTCTGATAGTTTCATGCAGTACTTAATTCAAAGTAGTACATCTTTTCAGAACTTGAATGTGTTGGAAAGTTTTGTAGGTATAATTAATCTAGCTTGTTTTGGTCCAGAGCTCATGTATTTCTGTCTAGTATTCAAGAAAAAACAAAAGATTTCACTTTTGTATTTGAAAAGCCGAAGTTTCTATTGAATGATCTGTGTGTTTCTTGGAAACATAAAATAAAAATAACCTGCTTTAAAAAGTTTTTTATTTCTTCTGTGTAGCATTAACGGCTATATGTACTATATAAAAGCATGCTCAAAATTCAGATGGAATTAAATTAGTCTGGTACAGAATGAAAACGATGGAAACATATATAATTAGGTCTTAATGGAGAATGTTTTCACATAGTTAGATGTGGTACCATGGTAAGAGCTGGTGTGAATTCTGTTGTAAGTAGGCATCCACTGAAAAGTAAGAATTGTGAAAATAGGATTTTTTTTTTAATTATTAAGGTGTATCATTAGACTAGCAGGTAATTTTTTTTCTCTCTTTTTTTTTTCTTTTTTTTTTTTCAATTTTGGCACTGATTACCTGTAAGGGGAGAGTAAAAGCAGGCAGGAACAAATATGCTGGTTTGGCACAGAGCCATCTAATTTATGGTGTGTAAGCCTAGATTTTTTTTGGTATCTTCTTAAGTCAGCTTTTTATAGACTTCTAGTGTGATTATTTTTTTGACTTTTTGAGAAATGTTTGGCATTTTGCCTGCATTAAAGCTATACTATGGAATACAGGTTAAATTATATTCAGCAGAAGTTTGACTGTGCTGACTTCTCTGCACCTTGCTGCATGAACAATCTCTTGGTAAGATAAACATCAAGCATCCTGGAATCATGTTAAGAGAGGTTAATGCATTGTAATTGGTTTGAAGCTAGACAGTAAGAGGGATAAATAATTATGTACTGACCAACCCGTATTGTGTATTATTTTAAGTAAATTGTTTCCTTTTTGCAGGCCCTAGATGGTCAGAATATTTATAATGCTTGCTGTACTCTACGGATTGATTTTTCCAAATTGGTGAATTTAAATGTCAAGTACAACAATGATAAAAGCAGGGACTACACTCGTCCTGATCTTCCATCTGGTGATGGACAACCAGCGCTGGACCCAGCTATTGCTGCAGCGTTTGCGAAGGAGACTTCTCTTCTAGGTATGACTCTGACTCTATTGTTATGTGTTGCAGAGTTACTTGAAGATATTAATTAGTCTTAAATTGCAACGGTGTCCTGAGGCCTATTCAGTTTATGTTGCAGTGTGAATTGTAGTAATACAGTTGCATTATCTTTACAAGCCCTGGAGAAGTGAATGAGAGAATGCATGACAAATGAGAAATGCACAAATGATAAATAAGCTCTTACTCTGAATGCATGTCTTCAACTGCAGTGTTGTCCCTAACAACAGAAAAATAAAAAGGATGTGCATGTCTTCAACTGCAGTGTTGTCCCTAACAACAGAAAAATAAAAAGGATGTGACACAAGTAACTTAAACTGCAATTCTTGGAAGTGTCCTGAGCATCAGTGAAGTCAGTCATATTTATCTTGGTTATTAATGGAGATTTTATATTGGAAGAGAGGGAGGTAGCTTTTCTCATTCTGCTAATGACCAGTTGGGTGAGTTTTGTATATCTTAACTTTGCTTCATCTGGCAAATACAAATACTGTGATCTTTGTGTTAGTTTCCTCTTTCATTTTTATTGCCTCCTGCTTGCCTTATTATCACAGACTTCAAGCTCTACTGCTGAAAAACTTCATGAAAGGGTTCTGTTATATTATTGTTGCCTTAGCCAATCAAATAGTTGTTGTAATGGGAATTATACTTGTTTGAAAATGGAAGTGTGAGGCTCTCTATGCAAAAAAAAACACAAAACAAAACAAAAAACCCCTACAAAATACATGACATCAGTATGAAAAAAGAAAACAAAAAAAACTTGAAAGACCGAATGGGTTTATGGCTCTGTTTTTATTCAGATACCCAAAAGGAGAAAGGTGAGAACAGCTGTAAGTTCAGAGAATTGTAAGATGAAGGTTGGGAAACTATGATGTGTGAAGTATGGCAGAATGATAGCAGTGACCTTCCTTCTGCTTCTTCTTTATCTTCATATTTTATATTTTTATTTGCTTTTAGAATTGTCTTCTCTAATGTCAGCAGTGATAAAGATAGCTTCAGAGTGTACTTAGGTAGATTATCTGCCATTCAGTATTCACATATGGTTCCCAAAGGGTGTGCTTCACCACAAAAGAGTGCAGCTCCATTTTGAGCTTGATGTGATGCTCTTCAAGTTCTAGTATGTTTGCAGCAATGCTATGTTGCACCTGTGGTATTCTTGTTAAAACTTACTGTAGCTGTTTTTAGTGTATGTGTATGAGATCTCTAACAGAAAATGTGGTAAGGCTTCAGTTTTGACCTTCATTTCTGTTACATTATACTGTTACATAGTAGATTGTTGTACAGCTTTGGTACTTTTTTTCTAAAGTGTATAAAGTAATTCATATGTCAGAAGCGAGGTTTAGGTTAAATATTTTATGAGTAGAGGTTTAGTGACAGGATGACACTCTTAGTCTTGATGCTTCAGTCTGTATGATTGAATGTTGTGTGTGTGTGTATATATATATACACCTCGGTTACCTTCTGCATGAGATTAACCCTCTTCTTCAGAAACTGTAACTTCAAGATGTGCTGTAGCAAAACCTAAAATGTGAAACTTCTTGAGCTACTGAGCATAGATTTTCAAAGAACCTCCTAGTGCCCCCCTAAATGCTTTCAGGCTAAGTATAAGAAGGCAGACAGCGAAGTAATGAGTGCCAGGAGGTAGTGATTACTTGACATAAGGTCACAAAGAAGTTTGTAGCCCAACTAGGGACTAAATCCAATTCAGTCATAGTTTTACATATCTACATTAAGATTATTATTTCTATTACCTATTGTTTTCACATAATTTTTAGTATAGCTTTAATTTGCCTATTAATAAAATATCAGTAATTTGTAGTTGAGTAGTAATTTGTACTTGAGAAGTCACACACACAAAAAAAGCTGGGAATAAGTTATGCATGGCATGCTGTATTAAGGATAAAGGCTCAATGGCTAGGAAGAAGGGTCTATAATGTTTGTATGTTTTCATTAATATCCAGAAGAAGCAGAGTCCTGTTGTCTGTGATTGTTGGAAGCTAAAATTAAGTTAACAATGACCAAGCTTTCCAATACAGAGCATTTCTTGATAAAGTAGCAAGTTTCTATATAGTTGCAGGTAAGTCATTAAATAATCAACAGTGAGTTGAGTGGTGATAAATATCCATAATCTAAATTTTATTCATAAAGCAAGATTTTTACTTCTGTTGAGTGGCAAATTCTAGAGACCTACAAAATAAGCCCATAAAAAATGCAAATCTTGCGATATATCAGACCCTTTCAGAAAACCCTTTCAAAAAACCAAGTAGAAAATTGTTGCACATGTAGATTATCCAGGCTCACATGCATTGTTACTTGTTCATATACTGCATCCTCAGCTGTGATAAAGCTAAGTTGTCAGAAATCTTAGAGACTGTAAATTGGATATATTTTCAGTGAGTCTTAATATCTTTTGAATGAAGGGCAAAATTGCTAATGAACCAAATGGGCTGCTTTCAAATGACTGTCATGGTCATCATATCAGAATTGGGCTTTTTTTTTCCCCTGAAATGTGTTTCTTTTTATACGTGAAGTAGAGAGAAGTTATGGGAGATCTTTGAGGGGAAAAAAGCCTTTTGTGTAAATAGCAGCTATATTGTAATGAACCACTAAATAAAAATGAAATGCTAAATAAAATGCTAAACAAAAACTACTTATAATTGCAAGATATATAATAGTTGAACTTCAATTAAGCTGTTTATTACTACAGCTCGAAATATGCTGTTGTTACAACTCCTGCAGAATTATTTCTTGCTGTCTTTCCAAGGCGCTTTTATTATAACTTTTCACTAATTTCCCCTTCTTAAAATTCTTATTAAATAAATCTGTTTCAGAGGATAACAATTGAAGACATTTCTGTATGAATGCTGTTAAATTAATCTTTTTACTTCATCAGTAGGACCAAGAGAATTCTATAGAAAACTTAATGCTATGAAGAGTTTTGGCTTCTAAAGTATCAGTTGTGTCATTACATCCAATTATGGAAAAAGCCTTAATAACTTTGTTAGGCATCTTCAAATTCCTTTATTTCTCGATATGCTGGACTAGCTTAGTTTCTAAAGCTATGGAGAGGTGCTTTAGACCCATTAAAAGACTTGAAGCACACTAATATTTTGACACTTTCTCATACCTAAATGGTTGCTGCTAAGCTAGTATAAAGCAAGTTGTTAGCTGAAAATCTGTCATACTTTACCATCATTCTTCACGTTTGTGTCTCTATGACCTTCACACTAGCTGAGTCTAAACAAATTTGAAAGTCAGTATATGTGATATAAAACACTTAAACTACATTTCCAAAATATAACTTGTAGAGCAGAACTTTAGTTTTAAAAACTGTTACTTGAGAATTTGCATTTTATATTCGTAGATTTTCCTTTGTATCACAGTCTGCTTTTGGCAGTAAGCAGCTTTGTTTCATTTGGAAGGGTACTTTCTTTAACTGTCTCTTTTATAAGTAGGTTTTTCTTGAGAGTAAAACCATATTCTTCAGTTATACCCCAAGAACAAAACAAACATCTGTGTTAGGTATATAGGATTGTATTTACACTTTCCTGTATCACAGAGTTGGTTTTAGGAAACAGAAATCACTACGTGTTTGTATATCAGCAGTGGTCTAATTTGATATCCTCTCTCTGACAGTTGCTGTTACTTCTATGTTCTCGCATAGAAGACCTAGGACAGCCTTATAGTGGACGATCACGTGTTAGCATACCTGAGAGAAGTACTTTCCTAGACCCGAAGTAGCTTGTGCTTGGCTTATGTGCCAAAGCATATTATATATCACTTTATTTAATATAGCTGGCTGCTGTTTCCTTAGGCCATCAAGTACTGTTCAAAATGCTGATGAGGGCTTTTGTCTCAGTGGAAGAAGGACAAGGTTTTTCTTTCTGTTTTGTGACAGACAGTTCCACAAATACCACAAGTGATGCGATAAAAAGATTGTATTTATTGCCTCAATTCAAGTAAATTTTCCCTTTATCTTGTCCTGAGAGATTACTAGAATTTTCTAAATATTTTCATTACTTAGTACTTTATATATCCCCAATTTGGTCTGTGAACACTAACGCTACGCTATTGATTTATCAAAAAGCATTCTGTATCTTTAATTTCCTTTTTTTTGGATTTTTGCTTTTATTTTTGTGCGGGCTTTGAAAAGAAATGACCAGAACATATTTTTTGAATCATAATTGATCAGTAATACTCCTTAAGCACTTTAGAAAAGTAGGGATTTATGTCCTGTTCTCTTCGAGAAGACACTTGTCCAGCCTGGGAAAATCTCATTTTTTTAAAATTGTTTGAGTTTTCATCAATTTGTTTAGCAAAAGGTAACTAAAGAGAAGAAATAAATATAGATGTACTTTCTAGATAATTAATAATCGTATAAAAACCTCTTTCCCTCCATGGTAACAACCTTCCTCTCCCTCCATGTTTTCCCTTGTGATACTAAATCTGGGGCATTTGTCATTAATACAGATGACTATATTTACTATTTTCTGCTTTATATTTGGTCATTGACTGAAACTGAAGAACTTTGCTTTTTCCTGTTATCTTCCTCTGAAATAAATCTGGGAAGAAAGTGTTGCATAGTGTAAAAGATATTTAGGCTGTCTACCTGGTTTGTTGGAAGACTGGTCAGAAACTTTGCTAGCTTGGCATCATCATACATCTGAAATTTTGCCAAAATGTGACATCAGAGAAGCCAATTTCAGAAGAGAAAATAAAACACTTTAAGTTCTATTCCTGTTCTTTTTACATATTTTGGTACATAAATGTCCTTTTACTGGACTCTGTGAAATACGCAAATAAGAATTTGATTAAAATATGATAAGGATATTCTTGTATGAGCTGTCTTCTGTAACATACGTGCACTGCAATCTTTCACAGCTCCTGTAAGTAGCATACTTGCCAGGTACAGCAGTGACATCACCATGTGAAACATTCAGATTTCTGGAGGATCTGAGTTTCCTTGGAAGTGTGGTGAAGTGCTTTTTTAGGGAATCAGATTATATAAAACCATGGAATAACCAGTTTGGTGCAGCTTTATTCCTCCTCAGCTCATTTATGTTGTGAGAGATGGATAGGCCTTTTCTCTTGACCAGCTCTAGAGTATAATATATGAAGCATGAAGTTGAAGTGAGCAATACCTCTCAAAGGGTGATATAAATACAGTGGGGAGCAGTTCTGCTGCACAAGAATGCTTATTTGAAAAGAGGAGAGAGTAGTTTTCATACCTCATCTCTTTGAAGACTTGATTTGAATCATATTTAATGTTACTATCCCTCATGTTCACTTAATTCGTTTTACAACTCGCTGGACATCTACAGCAGCTAGAACGGTCTGCTTTGTAGAGTCATATTCAACACTTGTACTGATATAGGTGCTGTTTTCGTAAGCGACTTGTGTGTGTTTCGTAAAATATGCTTTATTTTAAAATTAGGGCTTCCTGTTGCAGCTGTTCCAGGAGCTCTCAGTCCTCTGGCTATTCCAAATGCTGCTGCTGCAGCTGCAGCTGCTGCTGCTGGCCGTGTGGGAATGCCTGGAGTCTCAGCCGGTGGCAATACAGTTCTCTTGGTTAGCAATTTAAATGAAGAGGTCAGTGAAATAATTTGACACTTTTTTTTTTCCCTCTTTACTCATACTTCATTGGTCATCATTTTTTTTTTCTTTTCATTTGGCCTCTTATGTTTGGATTTTAAGCTCATAGTATTTTATATGTTATATTTATTATCTTACTACTCTCCCAAAGTTAATTTTGAAGTCGTCTTTGTTAAATACTTTTGTTTTCTGAGGTAGCTGATGACTTAAAATGTCCTTTGATAGTTGGCTACCTATGTTTTCTTAAAGTATGATGACTATTGCATGTTTGACATATGAATAGAAAGTTTTTTGTTTTATTTTGCAATTATGATCATTTAAACTAGAATTCCTGTTTTGTTTCTTCTAATTGTTTGCTGCTTCATTTCATGCTTGTATCTCACATTGTAAGGTCTTAATTTACGTGAACTACTCTAACACATTTTTCTTTAAAGGTTCTCCCAAAGATCTTGACGAAGCACTCTTCCAGTCTCTCTTAGTAATTTTTTTCATTGCAGTTTCTCATTTGTCTAAAAATAATAAGGAAAAATTGACAAAGCACTTTCACCTTAACTGTATCTTTCTTGCTAACTTTGAAATCTAAAGGAGTTTGTTTGGTTATGCATCTTTACCGTCCTTTATTTTTATTTTGATGGCTGTGAAAGCTGGTATGAAATGTGGGAAGTTTGTTTCAGTCTAGCTGTTCCATTTTTAACTGGCCTCTGTCACTAGAAATCATTAAGCTTATTTTATCATCTGGTACTATTTTGTCATCCACAGTCTTGCATGCTAAAATGTTTTAGGTCAGAGTGCCATTTTGAAAGATTTTTTTGCCTGCATTTCATAACCAGCCATGCTTACGCAGTTGAAGTTTAAATTTCAAAATTTCTATTGCATGCTTTTTTGTTTATTTTCGTGTTGAGATGAAATGCTGTAGTTTACTCTTGATATGAATGTACTTTACCCATATTTGTCTTGGGTGACTACATTTTACTCAGTTTTTCTTGTACAGTACATAAACCAACCATTTTCTGACCAAATTCCTGCATTTCCTATGTACTGACCTATATTTTATTTTTTTGTTCCCCACTTATTTTTTTTTCTTCTGCATTGCTGTTTTCCCCTCCCCATTTCATCCTTTTCCCTTTGTGTTCAACTTCCCTTTCCTTGTCTTTGCCCAAATTCCCATGCCCCTCCCCATTTTACCCTTTTCTCCTCGTCTTTGTCTATGTTCCCTGTCTTCATTCCCTATGTTCATGCTTCTGTGCTTGAACAAAATGTTCCTCGGACCAACTTGCCCCAATTAACCGCCTTGAAACCATGATCCATGACCACCTCACCATTCTGCGGGAACCACCCTTCGTTATGGATGATCTGTTCATCTCCGCTCTTCCTCGACTCTTCTCTCTTCTTGTCTTACGCTGCTTGCTCTTCTCTCCTTCTAAAGATGGTTACGCCCCAAAGTCTGTTTACCCTCTTCGGTATGTTATTGTTAGCACTATACTTTTATTATTGATTTGATTTTGTTCTGTTTTGTTTTGGTTTGGTTTTTTTTTGTTGGTTTTGTTTTGTTTCACCTTAATTCTTATTTGTAGCTAGCACTTTGGCTTAAAATTGAGTAGTAAATCTTTTGCTGTTTTTCTTTTGCTGTTTAAAACTCTCCATAGACACAGTTTTTCTTTTAATGCATGCTAATATATTTTGCATGGTCTTTAATTTAATATCACTCACATAGCTTTGAGGGTTTATCAGAAATTCTTTTCAAAACTCACTATTCAAAATCTTTATCTCCTTTATTCATTTGTGAGAGTGTTGAGTTCGAGAGAGTGATCTTGTTGCTGTCTGAATGTTCCATTGGTATGTGAAAATATGTGACTTAGTTGACTGGCTTTAAAATAACCTTTTCTTTTGGGTTACCTTTGACTTTGAAAAGGTGTTTATGGTGATGTGCAGCGTGTGAAGATTTTATACAATAAGAAAGACAGTGCTCTTATACAGATGGCTGATGGAAACCAGTCGCAGCTGGGTAAGATTAGATTTCTATTTATATTCCCAAAAAATTAAGCTATGTAAAATCAGGTGAACTAAGGATGTTTGCACCTGAAAGTTCTTGTATCCTAGTTACTGACAAGATCTGAAACCTTATTTCATCCACATGTATTTCAAAAGCCTGACAGTGTAGAATAATTCAAAAGTTGAAACTGGCTTTCTAAATCCTCATGTACTCTGCAGACCTAGTTTTCGATTAGTCTTCTAGCACGCTGACTGATTTTCTTGGTTTTTTTCTTGTTTGAAGGGCTGTGTATAATGTATCACATGCTACTGAAAAGTAATACTACATTGAGAAACCTGTTGTCTCTTTCAGCTATGAGCCATCTTAATGGACAAAAAATGTATGGGAAGATAATTCGTGTTACTCTTTCTAAACATCAAACAGTTCAACTACCTCGAGAGGGTCTTGATGATCAAGGGCTGACTAAAGATTTTGGTAATTCACCTCTGCATCGTTTCAAGAAACCTGGTTCAAAAAACTTTCAGAATATATTCCCTCCATCTGCAACGCTTCATTTATCCAATATTCCGTAAGTCTTGCCTGTCGGGAAGCCTGTAGTATTTTGTGTTAATCATAACACAGTGAATTAAATTATTTTCTGATTCTGCTTGTTTTTTGTCTGTAGACCATCAGTAGCAGAAGAGGATTTACGCACACTGTTCGCTAACACTGGAGGCACTGTGAAAGCATTTAAATTTTTTCAGTAAGTAATTTCTCTGTACATAGTTTCAACAAAAGACAGACTAATGGCATTTTTTTGCTGTGTGTCTTAAGGAAAAGTGCCTAGAGCATAGCAAACATTAGAAACAACTCCTGTAGTGTTCGAGTTCCTAATGCCATTATTTTGTTTCAGAAGAGATCACAAGATGGCACTTCTTCAGATGTCAACAGTAGAAGAAGCTATTCAGGCTTTGATTGATCTTCACAATTACAATCTTGGAGAAAATCACCACCTGAGAGTTTCTTTCTCTAAGTCAACTATTTAAAAAGGCAGATTGAAAATGAGGGTGTATTGCATTGTTTGGTGTTGTCACCTATTGACTGTTCCGGAGAGTGGGGACCAGAGTTTGTCTTCTATTTTTGGATTTTCTTTCTGTTTTCCATGCTGTTATCATTCCTTGGTTGTTTAAAAAATGAGAAAAAAAATTAAGAGCAGTGATACTAACTGCTGTTGTCCAACTGTTGTTTAGGTAAACCATCACTTTGTTTAAAAGATTTCAAGTTAATACCACAGTTTTTCAACTTAGTTGACATACGTGCCTTATAAAGGAAAGCTAGTACTGCTGGAATTGCATAACTAGTGAAAGCGAATTTGGTTGTGTGGGGCACATTGTTACATGATAATTTGAATATGTTTAGGCAGGGGTGTGTAAAAAGGTTAAGCTTTTGTTTCTCCTGCTTGGAATCGATTTCTTTATCTGCTGGCTTGTCACTGAATTTTCTTTTTATTTGGTAAGATGCATTGTACTGAAAGAGTAAAACATTGCTATTTGATTTTGCTACTTTTTGCTTTATGCTTTTTTTAAAGAAAAAAAAAGAAGGCCTTTAGTATTTTATGATTCTGGTCTAGATTCAGTTATGAATGTAGGCATTTGTTAAAATTACCAAGGTGCAGAATATTAATTTCTTAAAGGACAAGAAGTGACTTCTGTGACTTTGAGCCCTATGTGGAAAGCATTGTGGAATCTTAACCTTTTTGTACACACTCTTGTGGGATGTATCATATAAATGTCAGCACTAAGTAATGTCTTGTTTGTGGCTGAATATTTTTCGTAGATGTTTTTGAAGTTGACATGACTTATGTGCATTTAAATATATATTGCCATCTTTAGTTTGTAATTAAGATATGGAATATGGTTGTGGATTTCTGAGCATGTACAGACTGGTCAAGCTAGTTCAGGAAATGGTGCATGTATTTTTCAATGATAAAGAAAGTTCGCTGCAAACAAACACTTGCAGGAAATTTTGTGGCAGTTTTATAAAACTGACAACCAGGTGGGACCAAAGTTTATGTGCCTTTAGTCTTAATTTACCTTGCATTGTAATATTCAGTTTTAATAAATCTCTTCAAAATATTTTATATTTAGAAATTAATCTGACTTTACTATAAACATGGCTCAGAATCTACAGATCCAGTTAATTTGAAAGCAGTTCTCTGTCAGTCTGAACTGTTACCTTGATTCTGTTTAAATGACCAATACTTTTTGAAATTGATGTACTTAGTTTCAAGATTCATAGATTCTGTTATCTATGTAGAGAAAATGGTCATGTATATTTTCTATTAGTTGAGTTTTTACATCTTTAGAATTGTAAAATTCAGTATAGTTTGAAAGTGGCACAATTAAAAATTAATTTTCTAACAAAGTTGGGAGGTTTGATGGTTGTTTAATTTCATTTTGTGTGTACTCTGCTTACCTCTGTAGCATGCTCAATAAACACTTCTGTAGCTCTGTATTCACCTTTTCTGTCTTTCTCTGCTGCTTTCTCTCTCTTCCTCCTCCTCTTTGTTTTTCACTTCTACTGTGCTTCTTAATTCATGTTTATTCTCTGCCAGGGTGGGAAAAGCATAATAATTAATAATGCTATGGCTTTTAGCCATAAATCTGATGCTGTGAAAAATACCAGATCTTTCAGAAAGATAGTGACCCTTTTGCAGGCATATGCAAACAAATTAAATGTTTCCCACCCTGTTATAACCTGTTGCTTTAAAGACATAACTTTTATTGTAGTTTGTTAGCTTTCTCTTTCTATCTTTTCAGTTTTTAAGCAGATGTATGCACTAATAGGTCTCAGGTTTGCCATGCTCTTGCTGCAATTTCATTTTTCATTTTTTGTCTGCTAAAAAATTTCTACTAATCATACAGTATACTCATAGGATGAATTAACAAGGTTGATAGCTTAGTGGACCATGTGTTTCTAGATGAGCGTATTTCAACCTTTTAGAGACATGGGTTCAAGTGAATGTAAAAGCAGTTCAGGCACTTTAATAGTGTTTCAACGTGCTATTTTGGATTGTCATTCTTTTTTGTATTCCATTGGTTGTTTTTCTCAATTAAAAATAGGATTAAAATTTCTGCACAGCCCCCTGTTAAGAGTGAGTGTGCAATCTGGAAGCATTACGGTGGCAAAAAGCTTTTATATTTTTCAGTTCAAAGCACTTTTTTCTGTCACTTCTCCAATACAACTGCTGTAGATTTATTGATGTCCGATTACTTTGACCCGTTGCCTGGCTTTTGGGTTGGCTTTGAAATCATTAAATAGCTCTCAGCTATTTAGAAGTCACGGTATAACTAAGGGGGGTTTTCATTAGTCTTCACTGTGTGAAACAAAATGTATTAAGCTCTACCTGCTTTATCAGGAATACACCCAGGTTCTGAATTAATTTCAGATATCACAATGATCACCTAATCTGAAATACTGGTAAAATCAGGCTTGTCTATAAATTAAACTTCTGAATCAAAATATCAAGCCTGAAACACCTAAAGGTGTGGGTGCGACTGTCTCACTGCTGTTTTGAGCAGTAGTTGTGGAACTCATGGAGCTGCAGTCTTCAGGCTTTTCATTTGTACAGTATGATGCTACATATGTGCTAAAATGTTTCATATTTCAGAGCATGGTCACATGTTTCAGATGGTATTTCTATTTGAAACTTAGTATTCTGTGGGTACTCTGAAACTTCTGTCTGCAGTACTTGAGTGTTTACAAATACAGGTGGTGCTTTGTTTTGTTTCCTACTTTTCATAGGTTTTTCTTAAAATAAGTTTCTGTACTTTTTTTCTCAGATTAAAAAGTTCTGTGACAAAGGTCTCGAGAGAGAACAGATGTTGATGTTGATTTGATACAAATTCAGTAGTGTTTATTTTTTTCATTTATATTTTTATTTGTATCAAAATTGATTATGTGAAAAATTGAAAGCAATTATTGTCATGAAAAGTATGGAAGAGGTTTTTTATGAATTCAGTGAATAAAACCACTGTTTCTTTGTTGATACTTAATCCTTAAAGGATATTGTTAAATATCTTCAGAAATGCAGGCTTTCTATCCAAACTTACCAAAGCATGTTGGTTCTTCATTTTGTATGTTAATTTGTATATTTTTGTTGTAAAATATATCTACAGTACGTATTTTTAAACACTTCAGAATGTGAAAATGCAATGCATCGTTATTAAAATTCTGAATAAGGATTGTGAATAACTTAATCCATTCCATGGAATGAGTCTTTAGATTATTCCTGGTGTTTTGCCATAGGCATATTGATAATCCAAACTCACTTTCAGGTTTTTAAAAATGTTTTTTGACATTGATAGAAAGTGGTTACTGATTTTCATTTTCTTCACAAATTGTTTGGTTTTTTGATAATGGAACAATGAAATTGATTAGATCATGTCCAAAAGCGTTAGTCAGGAAATATCCACTGGCAAATACAGCATGCAGATGAAGTAAAACAAAACGTGGTAGCATTCTGACTAACAATTGTGGTAATTCTAATACTTCTGAGTTAAGTGAATGTAATTTGAAATACTTGTATTTATTGTGATTCAGTGTTTTATTAGCAGGCACCTTTGCCTTGCAGGAATAACAGCTCAAATGACTGTTTGTAGATTGTTGTTTTTAATGTTTTACAATAATTTTGTTTCCTAAGCCATCTTAGGAAAGAATTCTCTTTGATTCATTGTAAGTTTCCTTATTCATTATAATGTGTCACAGCATGAAAGCAACAATACTGATGTTTATCTTCAGAATTTAAGGCACTTTGATTTCACAATGTAGTTTACTCCAGATGATTTGTTTAATTCTTTGCTTAGAAAAGAGTTCTGATAGAACACCAGAAAAATGCACGGAGGATGTTTCTGTACAAACAGGTATGTAAATCAACTAGTCCATCTCCAGAAATTGTTTTTTCTGGTATTAAATGCTCTATATTGAGTTTCTTTTTTTTTTTTTAATTGAATTTGCTTTGGGTGAGGCTGAAGTCTGTATGTTACCCTACTCCATTCCACATAATGGGGCAACCTGAAATTGAGTCTGCATTTCCTAAAGTGAACAAATTTTAAATAATTTGGCAAAGTGTCCCAGTTCCTGTAATCCTTGCTTGTGCAGAAAAGACAATATAGTTTATGAATGTGGCTGAGATTGCATTTGAAAATATTTCCTTAAAGGAAATATCCCAGACCATTTCCCAGGTCTTGGTCATGTAATACCTCCAATACTTCTTACCTGACTTTGTCATAAGAGACATCTGCATCATGCTGGTGCACTTCTCATCCGTGCAGGTTGGTTCCTGCCTGACTGAGGAGTTGTATACAACATCAATGAAACTTCTGAAATTTCCTTTAATGTAAGATTTGATGTGGAATTACCTAATCTGAGTCTTGTGAGCTGCACACATCTTTGCAGTGCATCTCCACGTGAATACACATATGCATATGCACAGAAACACACAGAACAACGTGATTTTATCCCGATGGCTTACAAAAGCAAACTGGTGAATTCCTGTCCTGCTTCACTTCTCAAAGTGCCCTTCTTATTTCATGTTTTACATTCCTTGTAGCTTTCTCAGTAGGCTGCGATTTCTTCCAAATTTAGTTTGACGATGGAGCAGTGTGTTGTTTTGTCTCTCCTTTCAGAGTTTGCCACGTGTCGTGTTTAAAATAGGTATTCTTTCTTGATCAGTTCTGCACAGATAGTAAAGGAAAAGCAAATGACTTTTCTGTGTCTTGGAAAACATGAATTAAATGTGGATTGGCATAGACATCACTCTGAGAATTTAACTTAAAATAACGCTCCTATTATTGCAGAGTTCTGCATGTTTTATGAATTCTGTCCCACTTCCTTAAGGAAATGACACCTAATCACACTGTCTCCAGGTGTGTCTTGTGTTCCCTAAACTCACTGCTCTGCTTGCCCTTGTGCCCCTACTGGGCAGCTTTCTGTCAGCAAGATGATGGTCTCAACTATGTTGCCGTTTCTACATTTCAACCTTTAGCTGGCTTGTCAGATGAAAGTCCTTACTTTCACTGCTGTGGGAAAGGGAATAAAAAAACAGCTTCTTTTTCCTGTGTTGGCATGTGTCTGTAACTGGTGGCAGCCTGTGACGTAGAAAACATGGCAGGACCTGGGGCTGTTGGGTGAAATACCAGGGGAAATTGGAGGAAGGTGTATTGCAGGTAGGGTTGCTGGACAGAAGAGAGTGAGGGAGTTTCTGTATGCATATGTTCTCGTTGTGCATAAATAGCTCAAAATCATTGGTAAGGAGAGAATATTTCACAATTGTTTGTTATTTTACTAACAAGTCATGTCCAAACTACGTAAATAGCAGGTAGTTGCTGTAATTTATCCCTTCTTGCCAGCTACAGAGTTGCTGGAGGTTGCAACTATTGCAGATATTTGTTGATCTCCCTAGGCTGAGTGATCATGGCACCTAGAAGCTGGCAGAACTGAAAGCTCAAAACCACTGGTCATAGGATGGATTCCACGTCTGCATGGTTTAAGATGATTGGCACTGAGCTTTCCAGAGGGCTGGATACCAGCACCTCATAAGATCTAGTAAGAGAGTTCTTAAAGCAGTCGTCAGAAGTGACGTGTTAGGAAACCATTTTTTTGGTAGAAAAACTGTCTGCTTAAAAGGTTCCGAATACCTGTACCCTATGGAACAGTGCAGTGTTTCAGTATCTTTTGTTCTGACCCAAGCCTGTTTGATTTCTTAGTGCTGTGGGTTTACCTCTTGTAGTATCGACATCCTTTGAATGTTTTAAATGCAGCTGACATCGTGCTGGACTAGTCTGCTTTTCTCTGAAGCGGGAGGGGTTTCTTGGCAGCTGCACCTGACAAGCACCAGTGGTGCACTGCATGTACTGAGTGGGGACACCAGCCCTGTTCTGCTTTAAAGCATTGACAGTCCTCAGGTAACAATTAACCACAGTACTGCACCAATAAAATAGTCTCTTCAGTATGCTGTGTCTTGTAATCTGAACATAACCTTCAGGGGCTGGCTTTAAGGTTACTTGGGTGCATTTTTGTGAACGGCGGTTTGTGTTGAAAAGTGCCCCATTTCCTTCTCTCCTCCTCTGATTGTTCTTGTAGAAAGGTTTACCTGGGATCAGTATCTTTCCCCAGTGATGCTGATTGAAAATAATCTGTTTCCCTGGTTTGAAGCAAATTCTGATAAACCTTAGCCATTTTTGGCATAGTTGTCTAACCTGTGTTTTTAAACTTTGAAAGAAGTTGCACAGCTGAGAACCTGTTAGAAGAATCTTTGTGACTTAAATTTCTTCTTGAAATTTATATTCATATGAGTGCCATATATAAATCAAATTCCTCTGTTACAAAGGTGAAGTTTAGATGCATTAGTTACTTCTAAATATATGGCTTATAGTAGATTACTTTTTTTTTCTCATAGGTGGCTTTGTAAGATTCGTAACTTGCAGATTCAGTGACTTCTTGGACTTTCCTCCGTGTTCTTTGTCATAGCAAGTTGCATGATTTCAGAATAGTTTCCTTATTGGAAGTCTTTAGATCTGATTTAAATTTCAGCTTCACCTAATGTTTAGCAATTGCTGGGATTCTGATTAACCAACAATCTTGTACTATGACAGGAACTTTTTAAAGGATTCAGGTTATGTTTTGAAATGTTTCAGAAACTATATTAAGCTCAGAAAATTCTTTATAGTAGTAATTAAAAATCAGATGTTACACTTTCAGTATATTTGTTAGTCTAACTCAGTAATACTTGATGTAGAATTCAATGAACTTTCAGTAGGATTTGAGTTTGGAACAACCAGTATTTTCTGTGCAGGAAAAACTGAGTCTAGACTTCTGCCCTTTAGGAAGTTGTTTCTAGGCAACTGCTTCTGAATGCTGCTATGTTCTCTTAGCAGATGTCTGTTCTGCTCTGCCAAAAGGAGAAAAAGTTCGTCCAGATGTAGTGGCTGAGTATGCAAGGGGAAGGAAGAAGAAAGAGCAATACAAATATTGAGTTGTTGTACGAGAACTTCAGCTCTCTGGAGATTAAGCAGTACTGGAGGCCTTCCCCTGTGAAAGGTGACAGCACAGGTAGGGTGAGGGGGCTGAGATATGTGGTGTCTCCTCCTATGCCTCCCTACACATCTTTTTAAATAGTTTTTCTGTTTTCAAAAACGAGTTGGAATTTTTTAAATTATGCTTTAAGTTTTAAAGCTCATCAAGCAGCATTATGGAGGCAAGCTGTGTATCATTACTGGTCTTAGCAGACTGATTTTAGTAGATTTTTGTATGGATTATCGACAACCACAAATACAACTATGATCTGGGTTGGTATGGTCTGTAGTAAAGAATCTCAACAGAACTTGGTAAATCTATTGAACAAATATCTGTGCACTGAGTTGCCATTCTGTCAGGTAGCCGAATGCCTCTTTACCAGCATTCTGTTACTTGGAGGCATTAGCTCCTTCCACAATACAGAGCTACTGTTTTTAATCTGCTTGGTTTATGTGCTCTTTACTGACTTCGTTGTTCACCTGGGATCTTTATTTGGTAGTTTTGTAAGCGTTAAAATGCCTTACGCTTATTAACATTTAACCTTCCTCTTTTGCAATCATTTTAAGCGGTAAGAAAGATGGTACAATTCAAATATTTTGCATGTTAGCTTTGTTCCAAATTTGATACTGCTGCTTGCATTTAGATGATAATTCCTGACACTGCCTCACTGCTATAACAAATTTCATTATTTTGGGCAGATAATAAAGTTATTTTATTATCCCAGGCAATAAGACATTGATAAAACCTCTAAGAAACATGTAACAATCCTGATTCTTGCACAAACTATTTTAATGCTAATAAGACTTGGAGTTTTATATCCACACACTGAATATTTAAAGTTGAGGTAGGTTGTTTGCAACTAAAACTTTTCAGGCTCCTCATTTAAATCAATGCAGTATGATGTGCTAATCTTTGGTAAGTCATATCCATAGGAAGGTGGCAGATTGCTATCACCTGGAACTTCCTAACATTATTTTCAGAAAATGCTGATTCAGCGATTCTGAAAAATGACTGGTGTGCATCTTGCACTAGTGAAACTGAAAGTATTCTAGGGACTGATAGGTGGATGGCAAAAGCAATATACTTAATGCTTGTAAAACTGTAATTGGATTTTTAAAGTCTCTAATACGTACAAGTACCCAGTTTGCTTGAACAAAATGCAGTCCTTCAATAAGCAAAATGCAGTGAGTTGTATTCTAATAAATCAAATTTAATGAACTGTCCTACATCCTTCTTTTTAATACTATGTTATATGAAATGTTTAGCTACACACAATAGGCATTTCACTTGAAATATGTTGATGCTAACAATGTTAGCATCCCCTCATAATGATGATCATATGGCTAGCAAGGATAGCAAGGTGTTCCAGGTACACCTTTTGTGCTGCAAGAAGCACACTGGAGCTACCAACAGTATTCTCATCCTAAATTCAAAACATGGTAGGAAGAAAGTGAACTGTCCCAGCCAAAATAAGGGCAAATCTGAACTTTTAAATGCTTTATCAGCCTTTACGGCAGAACTGGTGTGGATTTTAGATATTGGA